CTTCCTTGTTCTTAACTTCAAAGTTTATCCTGCCTCCACTCAATTCATCATTGACCTTTGTTCCTTCAGTTCCATTGTTCTCCACTCCTCTGTGCCACAGGAGACACTGCCCTTTCTCACCAGCTGCTCTGAATGCTTGGAACTGTCCCACAGAATATCTGTATGACACCCCATCTGTATGTATGTATGTACAGTGGTGCCTCACTTAACGAGCACCCCGTTTAACGACGAAACCGCTTAGCGACAAAAAATCTGCGATCGAAAAACGATCGCATTGCGATGCTTTAAATAGGAAAAAATTGCTTTGCGATGATCGGTAAGCTGTTTCACTTACCGATTATTGCATAGCGATCTTTTTCCTACAGCTGATCGGCGGTTCCAAAACATGACCGCCCGCTGTGTTTTGGGATGGATTCCTCGCATACCGGGCAATGAAAATGGCCGCCATATGGATGATTTTCGCTTAAAGGAAAGTTTTTTGCCCATAGGAACGCATTGAAGGAGTTTCAATGCATTCCTATGGGCTTTTAAAAATTGCTTAGCGATGTTTTTGGTTAGCGGCGATTTTTGCTGCACTGATTAACATCGCTAAGCGAGGCACCACTGTATGTATGTATGTATGTATGTATGTATGTATGTATGTATGTATGTATGTATGTATGTATGTATGTATGTATGTATGTGTGCGTGCGTGCGTGTGTGTGTGTGTGTGTATGTGTGTATGTGTGTATGTGTGTATGTTTTTATTTTATTTTATTTAACTTATATGCTTTCCCACTCTACCCAAATATCTCTGGGCGGCTGACAACAATTAAAATACAATAAAAAAGATAAAATAATTAAAATACAGTTAAAATATATACTCTAAAAGTCGCCATCAGGACCCACAGTTGATATTATTTCAATTAAAAGCCTCCTGGAATAGGAAGGTTTTGACCTGGCGCCGAAATGTCACCAGCGTCTGTGCCAGACAACTCTCCTTCGGGAGAGTGTTCCATAGTCTGGGGGCAGCTGCCAAAAAGGCCCTTTATCTACAAGCCATCCCTCTTAACTCTGGTCTGTCCATAGCCTGGGGACAGACAGCTCTTTGAAAAGGACTCCATGGCTAGATCTTAACTGCTGGGTAGGTTCATATGGAAGGAGGCGGTCCTTCAGGTATCCAGGGCCCAAGCCTTTTAGGGCTTTATACGTCAAAGCACTTTGAATTGGGCCCGGGCAGCAACTGGTAGGCAATGTAATTTAAACAGAATTGGTTTGATGTGTTCCCTAGCAGCCCCACCACTCACCAGCCACACAGCTTGATTCTGGACCAGTTGCAGTCACCAGACCGTCTTCAAAGGCAGCCTCACCTACCGCGTGTTGCAGTAATCTATATGACATATTGCCAGTGCGTGTGTAACTCTCATGAGACTCCACTCATCCAGGTAGGGCCATGGCTGGTACAATTTCCATAGCTGAAGGAAGGCGCCCCTGGCCCCTGAGTTCACCTTGGGCTTCCAAAGTTAGATTGGGGTCCAGGTGCACCCCCAGGCTGCGGACCCTGTCCCTTATGGGGAGTGTAACCCCATTCAGGGCAGGGAAATGGCCCTCCAGCCTGTCCAACGGAGCACCTACTAACAGCACTTCCATCTTGTCTGGATTGAGTTTCAATTTACTAACCCTCATCCAGTCCATTATCAGGTCCAGACACAAGCTCACCACAGAAACCGCCTCATCTGGATTGGTGGAAAACGAGAGGTAGAGCTGAGTGTCGTCAACATATTGCTGACTCCTCAGCCCAAACCTCCTGATGACCTCTCACAGCGGTTTCATGTAGATGTTAAACAGCATGGGGGACAGTATCTGGCCCTGAGGAACCCCATGACATAAATGCCATGGGGCAGAGCATCTGTCCCCCAGCACCACCCTCTGGACATGGTCAGCCAGGAAGAAGCGGAACCAACATAAAGTGGTGCCCCAACTCCCAACCCAGCCAGCCTATCCAGAAGGACACCATGGTTGATGGTGTCGAAAGTCACTGAGAGGTCTAGGAGTATCAACAGGGTCACACTCCCCCGTCTCTCTCCTGGCAAAGGTCATCGCATAGCACGACAAAGGCAGTCTCCATACCAAAACGCAGCCTGAAACCCAATTGAAATGGGTCCAGTAAATCCATTTAATCCAGCAGTGCCTGGAGTTGCCAGGCTACAACCCGCTCCAACACTTTGCCCAAATAAGGGAGTTTCACCCAAATAAGGTAGTTTATTTAGGTGTCCAGGTTAGGCTTTTTTAGGAGTGGCCGAATTACCACCTCTTTCAAGTTAGTAGGGACCACTCCCTCTAAAAGAGGTATTCACAGCCTCCTGGACCCAGGTGCGGACCCCCCTAGCAGATCTTCCAATTAACCAAGATGGGCAAGGGTCGAGCAGGGTGGTGGTAGAATGGACAGATCCAAGCACCCTGTCCACATCCTCAGGTCTCAACAATTGAAACTCATCCATTAGTACTTGACCTAAGCACAGCACACTGGACACATCCTCTGATTCTGCAGTAACAGTGGAGTCCAACCCACTGCGAATATGAGCAATTTCCCCCTCAAAATGAATGGCAAACTCATCACAGTGAGCTGATGAGCAGTCCAGAACCTCCACTGGATTTCCCAGTTGAAGAAGATCCCAGACCACCCAAAACAGATCTGCTGGATGACATTCTGAAGAAGCTATACGGCTGGAGAAATACTGCCATTTTGCCAGCCGTATTGCCACAAAATAGGCCCGATAATGGGCTGTAAGTCGTGTTCGACTGGACTCCCAGCAGGTTTTCCTCCACCTGTGCTCCAGCCATCTCCCCTCTTGCTTCATCGCCCGCAGTTCAGAAGTATACCAAGGAGCTGTCTGGGCTCTGCGTGCAGGGAGAGGGCACTTAGGCACAATCGTGTCAACTGCCCGGATCATCTCCCTATTCCATAGGTGACT